GAGGCTAGCCTGAGCTACATGAGACCCAGTCTCAAACAAAACAAAACAAAACACTATGCTTAAGTTTAGGGAGAGGCAGGCCTAGGAGAGGGAACAAAGGATGCTTGGTCCAAAGGTACCCGGCAGAGGAGAGGAGTGGGCTGGGTCACAGCTGTCCTCACTTGTTCAGAGTGAGGACAGTAGGATGGGTTTGGTTATGACTGAGCCCTCAAAGGACAGGAGAGCCTTGGGTGGACTGTTGTTGGTGTTCAAAACTAATAACTAAGCTGGACATAGTCTACATTCCAAAAACTGCAGGAGTTTTTAAGATTTACGTAAATATTTAAGATTCATCCATAGAGGGAGGCTCCCAGCACCTCTTCCCTCCCCATAAAAAAGGACAAAACTAGAGTGGGGTGGTGGTGGCGCACGCCTTTAGTCCCAGCACTTGGAAGGCAGAGGCAGGTCAATCTCTGAGTTTGAGGCCAGCCTGGTCTACAGAGTGAGGTCCAGGACAGCCAGGGCTGCACAGAGAAGCTCTATCTGGAAAAAAAAAAAAAAAAAAAAAGCCAGGCACATGGTGGTGCACCCCTTTAATCCTGCCATTCAGGGCACAGAGATGGGCAGATCTCCGAATCCAAGGCCAGTCTGGTCTACATAGTGATTCCCAGGTCAGCCAAGACTACATAGTGAGACCCTATCTCCAAAACAAACTAAACAAAACAAAACTGAGTCCATGTCTCAGCAAGCTACCAGTGGGAGAACTAGAGATAAACAGTCATCCAATTCATTTACGTTTCTTTAGTAGCATCACTACTAGCCACATCCATGCTTTGGGGTTGCCAGCCACCAACACTGCCTATGGGGTTAGTGCTTGTCGGTGTCTCTGTCTAGCAGGCAAGGAAACTGAGGCTCAAGCCATATTAAGCAAAGTGTCTGAAGGTTTCCTTGGATGGAGAGAGGCTTCCCGCCTTGTTTCTCTCATTTGAGGCCACACTCTCGCCTTGTGCAGCCGCGGCCTTTCAAAGCTCTCCTGCTCAGGCATCAAGCACACCACCCCCGGCAGGAACACAACGCTCTTATGCTTAATGTGCCTTTAGGTTTTAGATTAGTTGGGGCTACTCTTTTTTTTTTTTTTAATTTTTAAAAATTGCATTTGTTTACTTGTCACATGTGTGGTGTTTTTGTGGAGATCAGGGGACAGCGTGTGGGAGTCAGATCTCCCCTTCCTCCATGTGGGTCCATGGGATTGAACTCAGGTCCTCAGGCTTGGCAGCAAATGCCTTCACCTACTGAGCCATCTAAGCGGCCCCTTTGCTGTTCTTTTAAGGCACTGAATCAGGGCCACTGTCTGACCTTGGAAGCTAGATCTACTCTTGCTCAGTCTACATCCTGGGGGTCCGCCATCACCTTGCACCTTGCTGAGGCAGGGTGTCTCTTATCGTTTCTGTATACTCCAGGTTTGCTGGCCTGTAGCTTCTGCCTGCTTTTCCTGTCTCCACTTCCCATCTACAGAGTGCTGGTTTTGCACCCCCACATCTAGCTTTTTCCTGGGACCTACGGCAAGCACTTTTACTGGCTAAACCATCTCCCTAAAGCCCCCTGAAAAAGTTCTAACAGAGGCTAACATGGCAATCCTCTAGAGAGAATGGCTGTGTAATTTTTGCCCTGTCTTGCATTAATATGTAATATGTATGTGTGACCGTATTCTGTTTGGACAGTGTCATAATGGCTGTTGGTTTGGACAAGATTGAAGTCTGGGGTTCATCCACATAGAACAGGGGAAGAGATGAGCTCCCTGGCATGGCCTTTTTGCCATTCACACAGGAGAGGGCTGGGGTAAAATAGGAACCCCCTTTTCCCAGGTCTCAGCACAGGCATTGCTTCCCCAGACCAGAGTCCCAGGGTAGGAGTGGCTCTCCATCACAGTGCTTCACAGCATGATGTGTCTGCTCGCCTCCCCTGATGGACCCTGCTCAGGGCACCAGCTAGACCTCGTTCTGTTAATATCCCCGAGGTCTAATACAATGACTGACACATAGCGGATACTCAATATGAGTTTGTTCTTCCTTTGCCTAAACCTGCTGAAGAACTCTGTCTAGCTGGCACATTGCCACACACCTATAGCCCCAGCGCTTGGGAGACTAAGGCAGGAGGATTGCTTCCAGTTTGAGGTCAGCTTGGGCCGCCTAGTGAGACTCTGTTTCAAAAAACAAAAAACCCAGGTGCGATGTCGTTTGCCTATAATCCCAGTGCTGGGGAAATGGAGGCGGGTGGATCCTAAATTCAAGGTCAGCCTCCATGACATAGCAAGTTCAAAGCCAGCTTGAGCTGCATAAAATCTCATCTCAAAAAAAAAAAAAAAAAAAAAAAAAAAGGGGACAAGGGAGTATGTTTCCAGAAAACGCCTGTCCTAGACCCGCAAGGCTCCCAGCTCCTACAGTCAGCATGGGGACAGTCTGCCCTGTACCCACTTCTTTCCTTGGGCTTCAGAGTGTTGACACTAGTGATCCATTTGCTGACCTTGCTTAGCCAATCAGATTAAAATAATCACCACATCTGTTGAATGCTTGCAATCTGTATGAATTATTTGGACTCCTTGAAGGAAATGTTACTATTCTTACAGACAGGGAACTGGGGCCCAAGGAGCCCTCAGTAGTATGCCTGAGATCATACAGTATAGCTATGCAGAAGGAAGGAAGAGAAGAAGGAAGGGAGGCTAGAAGGAGAGAGGGGGAGGGAGGGATGCCTGTACGTCTGTAGCTTCGCTGATTTTCTCTATTGTCTCCTAAGCACACTGGAGATGGTCAATGAGACTAACTGGGACAGCAGCTCCTAGGACCCTGAACGAAGGCAGCAGGGAGAGGAACAAGGTGGCCCTCGTGGAGAGCATCCTGGAGCAACACCGAGTTACTGAGTAACCTCAGACACTTGATTCCCCAGGGACAACCTGCCTGGGCCGGGCCAGAGCAGGCAGGAGACACCAATTCCCCTTGGCCCCTTAAATGCTTGGCTGGTCATGACTGGAAGCCAGAGATGGAAAGTCAGAGATTAGGCAGACCTCAAGACTAGACAGAATGGAAACTGGTGATGGATGTCCTTCAGAGGCCTGGGGTTGAGAAAGCTGTGAGGGCTGAAGCCATCACTTCATAGGGACAGAGGAGGGAGGACCAAGGGCCTGACATCAGCAGGCGATCGAAGAGAACCAGGACTGGGCCTCTCCTAATGCTTGATGGGTGGTGGGTTGGAGAATCTTCCTAGGTATCAGACTGGCAGGGGAGCCTTAGGGAAAGACTTCAGGGTCTTGCTCTGTTGGACTAGAAAGGACGCCAGCTGGTGTCTGTCACACATTGTTAGTACATCAAGGTCACATTTCACAAGCTAGTGCAAGTCTCACACGCTGACCATATGCTGGCCCAGTTCTCCTGCCCTTCCAAGGAACTTCTAAAGCCCTCCCCTGATTTAGCAACTGAAGAGCCAATACCTGCTGGACAGGGGCCTCCGGGACCCAAGCCTGTTATAGCCTGGAACCAGAGCCTCTGATTTCAGCCCCAGGACCTAGCCCAGGGTAGACACTAAATGAGTATTTATTGAATGAATGAATGAATGAATGAATGAATACATGAATACATGAATGAATACATGAATACATGAATGAATGAATGAATGAATGAATGAATGAATGAATGAGGAAGAGAAAAGGAGGAAATCAGGTCCTGGAGGAGTGTGAGATGAAGGGAGGCACCCGGAAAGAGAGGAGTCTAGCATCAGACCAGACCTCTCTTCCCTGTTCTCTAGTGCTGGAAGCTTGGAAGGCTGTTCCCTCCCGGGGCCTGTGTAGGCTTGCTGGAGCAATCCAAGCAAGTGCCGACCCCAAGCAGGGCTCAGGAGGCACCCCTGGGACAGGAGGTGACTGTGGTGGGGGGTCCCATAGCTGCTGAGCCATTATCTAAAGGCCATTTGCCAGATGTCTCCCTGGTTCCAGAAGGGACCTGAAAGCAACCTTTCTGTTGACTGAGGAATGATGGAAAGTCTGAATGGAGCCTACATGGACCAGCTGTGCCACAGAGGCTGAGCCCTGGTCTTTCATGTGCCTGGCTGGACCCCTGACAGGAAACTGGACAACAAGTCCACACAAGGGCGGGACAGAGGCTCAAGTCCCTGATGAGACAGTGGAGGAGACTGGACAAGGAGCAGTGGAGAATGAGCAGGTCAGCCATCCATCCTTCTATCATCCCCGCCCGTTTCTAAGAAAGGACAAGGCCCCTGTGGACTGCATACAGGTGTCGGCACCGACAGGCCGGTGTTCCTACCTGCTAGGGTCCTTCAGGGACTCGGCACCCAGGAGAGAGCCGCCCCTTCCATGACTCTGTGGGCTCTGCAGCCCCTCCTTTTGGAGCCACAAGCTCGGCTCAGCACTCAGGAGGTAGAGGCAGGAGCTTCTGAGTGTGGGGCCCTCTGGTTTACCTCTACAGCCAGGCAAAGGTCGTTCTCAGAAGGGTCCGATTCCTTTCTGTTAGCCAGGACCCCAGTGGACAGCTCAGTGGGAAGGGACTCCTTCCCAGATATCCACGCCCCCCCCCCCAGGGAATGCCGATTGAGGTGGGACAGCAAGAGACCCCCCTGCTGAGGCTCAGGTGGCTGGTTAGTCCTCCAAGCCCGGGGAGAGCTCTATCTACCTCCATTCTCCAGCTGTGCTTTTCAGTCGCGGAAAGGTCAACTAGCTCTTACTTTTCCCATCTCTTGTCCTAACTTTGGAGGAACCAGCTAGGACTTTGAAGGGACGCTAGTGTCTTGGATGCTCCTCTCTAATGCGGGGTTTGAGAAGGCGAGACCCCTTTCTCCTCCCACCACTGTTCTGGCAGCTGGGGCACAGTTGTGGAAGCTCACACATCACGGGCCATGGGAAACAGGACCTGACCTGCGGGGCTAGTCCTTGCCAGCCTCAAATTGAGGGGTGGGGCTCCCCCGGGAGCAGCGCGGCCTCCGGGGGGGCGGGGCCTCACTTCTGCAGCTGCAGGAGTAGGCTAGGCTGGCACAGCCCTGTTGGAGCCCGGGACAGCACAACCGCGTCCATGGCCCGCACTCCTCGCCGCCACCGGCGCCTGGTCCTGCCGCTGCTGTGCCTGCTCTCCCAGGGCGCCACCGCCCTCCTCTTTGCGATCTTTGTCCGCTACAACCACGAAACAGACGCTGCCCTGTGGCATTGGGGCAACAACAGTAACGTGGACAACGAGTTTTACTTTCGCTACCCAAGTGAGTGAGGGTCAGGGCGTGGGAAGCAGAGACTCCAACCTCCTACCCCGGTCCCGGTGTGTTGGGAAGGGCGCTTGAATGAGGTGGGTACGCCTCCCACCGAGATGCCAGCCAAGGCTTTAAAACAGCACCCTGTCCCTAGCGTCCGTCCTGTTGCAGGCACTGCTGGGCATGGTCCGTGCACTACCTCAGGCTGAGGAAAGGTAAGGCTCAGCAGGGTCACACAGTGTGAACCAGTGTCTTGTCTCACCTTCCACTGGGGCTAATTCGGCTTTGTCTAGGAGTCCAGCTTGACCACGGGAAAGAGACTCCCGCTGGGATTGACAGGTAGGGTGCTAGAGGAGATAATGGAGAGAGAGGTGTGAAACTCCCGAAAGTTCGGACATCTAAGGTCGGTTTGGGCACGGAGGGTCAGAGTGAGACAACACTGGACCTGCTCTCCAGATCCAAGGCCGGCATGAAGCGGGTTAGGGGGATGCTCGGCAGGGCATTTTGTCCTCTCACAGTCTAAGGTGGCTGTGGTGTGCCTTTTATCACCCACCACGGGTCCAACAGTGAGGATGGGGCTTAGACATCATAAACTCCTCGACCAATGGCCGTTTGCCTCCTGACAGGTTCCAGATGGGGAGTTAACCCGCAGATGGAGACAGGGCATCTCCCTCAAGTCTGTAACTGAGGCTCTGGGTATCTGGAACCAAGCATACTATCTTCCCGCTAGTGCCCAAGTCGACCTTCTTTAATCCCAGTGAGATAGGGCAACAGGAAGAAGCTGGGTGTGGTGGCTCCCGCTTGTAATCTCAGCACTCAGGTGTGGAGGCAAGGAGGATCTGGAGTTCAGGGCTAGCCTTGGCTACACAGTGAGTTTGAGACCAGCCTGGGCTGCACAAAATCCTGCCTGAACAAAACAAAAAGGAACTCCAGGCAGGTTCCTATATGCTTTTAATCCCAGCACTAGAGAGGGAGAGGCAGGTGGATATCTGAGTTCAGGGTTAGCCTAGTCTACAGAGTGAGTTCCAGGACAGCTAGGACTAAACAGAGAAACCCTGTCTGGGAAAAAAAAAAAAACAAAAAAAAAAAACAAAAAAGGAAAAATAAAAATGTCTCAGTTTGAAGGACATTCAAATAAGGCCTGGGGTGTGAGAGGCCCCCCATAAAGCAACAAGACTATTACCACCCACTTTCTACATAAAAAGGTGAGGTGGCAGGCTGTCCCCAACTCCCCCTGTCCTGGCTCTAGCTCTGGGGACATAGAGGGTTGGGGGAGACTTTGGATTGTGGCAGGAAACACCAGATCCCTAACCAACCACAGTACCCCCTTTTCCACAGTTTATTTCCAGCTGTGGCAGGGAATTAGCAATCAGACCTCGCAGCTGGGATCAAAACCAAGGCCCTAAAACTGGCCATAGACCGTTGGCCTTAACTGTCAGTGGAGGCTGGGAGCTGGGGGGACATGGGCCAGAGAAGTGAGGGAGGTGAGCTTTGGTTCCCAGCCTAAGCTGGCCAGGAACAGCTTCAGTTAGGGCCTCCAACCCTACCTGTTTGTTCCAAAGCCCTGCACGAATCCTGCCTCTTACATCTACAGTAGTGCTGGACTCTCCACCCTGAGAGCAGCAAGAAGGACCAAGGTAGAGTCACCGCCTGTCTGCCCTGGGGTCAATTTCTGTGGACTTTGACCCTGCTATTTGGGGAAAGCTAGGCAGGAGGCAGATGTGAGTTTCCTAAAGCCTGGACTTTGATGAGCCGGGGCCTCACCTGTCCTGTGTCCAGAGGAAAGGGTCAAGGCCAGAGGGCGGGTGGAAACCACCCTTTGATTCGGAAGATGAAAGGATTCTATGGTGAGTGGAGACAGGTCAAGGCTGCAGGCATACACACTCTAAGAGGCTGTCTGTAGATGGCAGCCATCTCCCCCAGACAGGACAGGATGGGCCCTCAGATTCTATGGTCTACTTCTCCCAGATCTGATGTGGGCAGAGAGCCAGGAAGGTCACTCACCTACCCAAGATCACATGGCAAGTTACAAAGAGTGAGCCTGCGACGTGGCTTCTTGAGTCCCCATCTAGAAACTCCTGCCACACTCACAGCACCCGGCTTACCTTATCTTTTAGGTAGGGTCTAACAATGTAGCCCAGGCTAGTCTCAGACTTACCAGCTTCCTGCCTCAGTTTCCCAAGGACTGAGGAATACAGGTGTGAACAGCTGTGCCCTGCCTACAAAGCACTTATTCTACAAAGCAAGTGATTTGGGGTAAAAGGGGAAAGAGCCACAGAGCAGACTAGTGAAAGGAGGTTCTGAAAGACTAAGGAAGTCCTCCTTCAGATGGGGGTGGGGGTGGGGCTGACTCACGGTGGGGACTTGTCCTAGACAGAATCAGCGCCATTTTAGGGGGGATGGATGGAGGTTGGACTATGGCCTGCTCTGGGAGGCTTCAACCTCTGTTTGGAAGCCGGGGAGGAAGAGGTGTATGACTGCAGGCCAGAAGAGGGCACCAGATCTCATTACAGATGGTTGTGAGCCACCATGTGGTTGCTGGGAATTGAACCCAGGGTCTCTGAAGAGCAGTCGGTGCTCTTAACCACTGAGCCATCTCTCCAGTCCCCTCCTCATTCTTTATATCTGCCTTTTCCAGAGGAGGCACCTGAGGCTTAGAGAGGCCTGGGGTCATGTGTCCAAGGTCATGGGGTTGGCTGCATTGGATGTTGAAATGGCCGCCCTAACCATGGCCTTGCCCTGTTAGGGGGAAGCTGGGGAGGGAAAGCTGGCAGTGTGGCCCCAGAGGGCTGTATTTGTTTTGTCCTGTACCTTTTTTTTTTTTTTTTTTTTTTTTTGAGACAGGTCGTCATATAGCTCAGGCTGATCTCAAACTCATTATGTAGTCAGGTCTGGCCTTGATCTCCTCATCTTCTTGCCTCCACCCCTGGCATGGTGGAATTACAAGTGTGTGCCACCGTGCCTGGCTGGGATTGAGTTTTCAGTGCAAACAGTGGCATTTAAAACAAGCTCAGAGCAGTTGGGAGTTCCTGCATGAACAGTCTTTGAAGCGTGCCACCCAGCCCCCTGTGGTTTCTTGCTGTCCTTGAACAAGAACAGAAAGAATTCCTCTTCCATGTTTGAACAAGGCAAAAAGGCAGTCAGAGAAGTCTGAAAGACTGTAGGCTAGCCGAGCGTGGTGACGCACACCTTCAATCCCAGCACTTGGGAGGCAGAGGTAGGTGGAGCTCTGTGGTTTGAGGCCAGCCTGGGCTACAGAGTGAGTTCCAGGGCAGCCAGAGCTACATAGTGAGACTCTGTCTTGGGAAAAAAAAAAGACTGTAGCTCCTGCTGAGTTCCAAGTGTGCCTCTCCTTTCTGACGTATGTATGACCTGGGTGACCCTGAGGAGGCAATATTGGAGGTGGTGGTGCATTGGGAGTGGAGACCAGAGGCCTCTTGGCGGATACTTCCTGAGCTCCAGGGCTCCAGACCCCCAACTGAAGCGGCACAAGCTTCAGCTTCTCTCAGGGCTCCTGTCTGCACCCCAAAGTCCAGCAGCAGCTTTCAGCTTGCTGTGCCTCTTGAGATCAAACAACACAGAACATGGGCTTGAGAATCTGCTTCTTCCTATGAGAAATTCAAGGTCATCTATGATAAAAAAAAATGTACACAAGTTGAATATCATTATGAAAATCCTTGGAGCCAGAAGTGTTTTGGTCGGGGGAGTGTTTACATATACATAATGAAATATCTTGAGGATGGAACTCAAGTCTAGACAAGCAATCCACAGATGTCCCACACACACCCTATACAAACAGCCTGAAGGTGCTTTCGTGCAGTGTGTTTAGTGAGCCTGCATTTTGAGTAAAGCCCATTGGATGAGGCCCTGTGTGGGTGTGGAATATTCCACTATGGCATCACACTGACGCTTGAAGACTTCTTGACTCTGGAGCATTTGGGGTTACCAGTTTGGATAGTGAACTCGCAGAAGGAAAAACAAGCAGAAAAATGAAGCCCACATCTGAAGTGAGAATCGTGAGAGCGTAGACGCGTAAGAGCGGTACTACGGCTCCCAGCTCCCACGTGGCCAAGGAACCAGGTCACTGTGAAGGAGTCTACATTCTCGCCAGAGCCAGCAGCCTCCCCTGTGCGGGCTCTGACTCTCCAGTCTGACCACCCTGGAGAGCAGGAACCGACTTCCTGGGGGTAGCTGTACTCCAGAGCCCCATCCACAAATGCTCAGCTCATCTATTGCTTGCCAATGGGAATCAGGCATCCCGGGGGGAAGTGACATTTCTCAGCCCGAGAGCAGTTTCTCATGTGGAGTATGAAAGGAGGGAGGACTTAGTGTAACGTTCCTTGTCTCCAGACATTTACAGAAAGGGAACGCGCACAGGCTTTCTACTGGTGGGTTTTGTATTTGCTTGTTCATGATTATTTATTTACTTATTTATTTAGAGACAGTCTCATTATGTAGCCATGGCTGTCCTGAAACTAACTATGTAGACCAGGCTGGACTTGAACTCAGAGAGATCAGCAGGCCTCTGCCTCCCAAGTGCTGGGATTAAAGGTATGTACCGCCACACCTGGCCATGGTCATAATTTTTTGAGACGGGCTCTTCCTCCCTAGGCTGACCTTGAACTTGGGGCAAACCTCCTTCAGCACATCTCAAGTGTCCATCATGCCCAACCACTCACCTTGCTTGTAGAAGGCTCTCTTGTTTCTGTGGTTGTGCTGCTGCTGCTGCTGGCCAGCTGGACCAAGCTTCTGGACGATTCTACTTTCCATCTCACTGTAGGAGTGCCGGGATTATAGATGTAGCTACCATACCCAGACTTTTACATGGGTTCTGGGCTCATCAGGCTTGCTTGTGTGGCTAATGCTTTTGCCTGCTGTCCATCTCCCAGCTCCCTTAACGCTGGTTCTATAGCTAATTACTCAACAACTTATTTGTATAAATCTTATTTTCAGTATTACTATGTTATACTGTTACTGCAGTATTATTATGCAGAAAGCAAAGAGAAAAGGCCCCAAGTCTTCTTGTCCAGAAGCTCCACAATATGCTCAACAGTTCAAGGAAAACTGGCCATGTGTGGTCCCATGCAGTTGAGGCAGGAAGTCCAGAGTCTGAGGTCGGTGGGACTACATGGTGTGACCCTGTGACCTCAACAGAGCAAGTGTGATGTATAACATAAAAAATCCAATATATAGAAAGAAACAATCTGAAAGGCAGTCCCCACTCCTGAGGAAGCCTGCATGACACCCTGGTCCAGGGGCTGCCGTTGCACTGAGCTGTACACACAGCGGTCCACCCTCTCCCTTCAATTCCGTTGGGGGTGAGGTTAGTCCCTGTTAACAATTCAATGTCATCTCCTAAGTTACTTTTAGTTTATTCTCAAGATAGGGAAGTATAGACTTTGAAAGATGAGAGACGGAAGTTAGACACCAAGAAGGGCTTCCTAGGCAGTGGTGGCGTACGCCTTTAATCCCAGCACTAGGGTTTAAAGTGCTGGTGGATCTCTGTGAGTTCAAGACCAACCTGGGCTACAGAGTGAGTTCCAGGAAAGGTGCAAAGCTACACAGAGAAACACTGTCTTGAAAAAACAAAAACCAAACCAAAACAAAACAAAAACAAAAACAAAAAAAGCCAAAAACAAAAAAGAAAAAAAAGAGGGCCTTCCTGTGGCTGGGGAGATGCTCAGTAGGTAAAGTGTTGGCTGCACAAGCATTAGGACCCGAGTTCAGATCCTCAGCACACAAGCAGGAGTCAGGGATTGCGGTGCTCATTCATGACCCCAGCACCGAGGGCCCAGAGGGACAGACTCCAGGGCTTGCTGGCCATCTACTCTGTCATGTGGATGAGGACCAGGATCACTGAGGTACCCTATCTCAGTACAAGGCACAGCACGGTGGAGGAAAACACATCTCCCTCTATACACACATGCACACGTGTGTGAGAGCACACACGGCTACATAAGAACATGCATACATTGTACGAGGGAGAGAGGAGAGTGGAAAACACCCGTCATCTGCCTCTGCCCTCTTACACACATGCACACATGTGCGCGCACACCCACATACGTGAGACCGTGTGCACACTGCACACAGGGAGGGGGACTTTTCAGAAGAAGGAAGACGAATCTTGTGTGTAGAGGAGACAGGGCTGCAGCAGCAGAGAGAACTGACTGAGTTTCCTACTCAGGCGAGCAAATGGGTCAGGGAGAAGGGGAGCCAGTGCTACTGCGGGAGTCTGGTTCCTCCTTGGAGCAGGGACGGCAAGGACGGCCTGGCCCTGCTGCTCCAGGTCGGATGCTTTGTGCCAGCTGCTGGGGCCGTGTGTGTGTGTGTGTGTGTGTGTGTGTGTGTGTGTGTGTGTGTGTGTGTGTGTGTGTGCTAAGCCTAGGCATGTTTTTATTAACATTTTTCCTTCATTTTACATAATGACCACAGTTTCCCCTCCATTCTCTCCTCCCGTTCCCTCCCACAATTCTCATCTGCCCCCTTCCCACCCACCCGCTCCTCCTCTATCTCCATTCAGAAAGGGCAGGCCTCTCTCTCATGGGCTTAAACAAAGCATGGCACATCAAGTTGAGGTAGTATGGAGCTCCTCCCCTTGTATAAAGGCTGAGCGAGGTCATCCAGCATGGGGAACAGGTTCCCAAAAGCCAGCTAAGCACCAGGGACAGGTCCTGATCTCACTGCGAGGAGCCTTACACACACACCAAGCTACACAACTGTCACACACATGCAGAGAGCCTAGGTCGGTCCCATGCCGGCTCCCTAACTGTTGGTCCAGAGTCCATGTGCTCCCACGAGCTCAGGTCAGCTGTCTCTGTGGACTCCTCTGTCCTGACCTTGACTCCCCCAGCTTGTACAGTAGTCCCTCTTCCCTTTCTTCAGGAGGACTCCCGGAGCTCGGCCCAGTGCTTGGCTGTGGATCTCTGCATCTGCATCCATCAGTTACTGGACAAAGGCTCCGTGATGACAATTAGGGTATTCACCTATCTGATTACAGGAGAAGGCCAGTTCGGGCCTCTCCACTACTGCTAGGAGTCTTAGCTGGGGTCATCCTAGTGGATTCCTGGCACCAGGGTTCTCCCTCGCCCTCCACCTGCCCTCAAACCACATCCTGCACGGAGCCCATCCAACCTCAAGTTTCCATCTCCCCATCTCCTCCCACACTTTCTCCCATTTTACCCAGGAGATCTCTTCTATTTCCCCTTCCCAGGGGAATCCATGCATCCCTCTTTAGGCCCTTTTTGTTATCTAGCCTCTCTGGGACTGTGGATTGTAGGTTGGTTATCCTGTACTTTACTCCTGATATCCACTTATGAGTGAGTACATACCATGTTTCTCTTTCTGGGTCTGGATTACCTCACTCAGAATTATTTTTTCTAGTTCCGTCCATTTGCCTGCAAATTTCATGGGGTCATTGTTTTTTTACAGCTGAGTAGTACTCCATTGTGTAAATGTACCACATTTTCCTTATCCATTCTTTGGTTGAGGGGCATCTAGGTTGTTTCTATAAGCCTGGGGATTTTACAGGCACGGTGCGGCTTTAAGGCAGTCCTGATTGGAGGAGCCAGGCACTGGCGGGGTATCTGTTGGTTGGTGGGTGTGCCCGGAGCAGACCTCATGACATTACCTCTCCTCCCCTTCCTTCCCCTCCCCTGCGCACCCACAGGCTTCCAGGATGTGCATGCCATGATCTTCGTCGGCTTTGGCTTCCTCATGGTTTTCCTGCAGCGGTATGGCTTCAGCAGCGTGGGGTTCACCTTCCTCGTGGCCGCCTTCACCCTCCAGTGGGCCACACTGGCCCAAGGCTTCCTCCACTCCTTCCACGATGGCCACATCCACGTTGGCGTGGAGAGGTGGGCAACAGTGAGCCCCTGGCTCCCTCAAAGGCCCCGTTCCCCAAAGGGTGCCTGCTCAAGCCCTGATCTTCAAGTCTGCTCACTGACCCCTGCTTTGCTTTGCCCCATAGCCACCTCCTGTGGGCCACTGTCCCTTCTCAGTGTCTGACCTGTGTGACCCTCGTTCACATACCCCTCCCATTAGACCTCTGTCATACGAGCTCCTGGGAGGACCGGCCAGTGAAGAATGGCTCCTCCTACCCCTGCTTCTTCAACCTAGAGTTGGCCCTCACTTCCCAGGGGCCCCTCCCTCCTCTCCAAGGGTGGTGGCACCTCTCTGGCGCCCAAGGAGAGGTGCTCTAGTGCTCTGTCTCCTCACTCCGCCCTGCACGCCCCACGTGCCCCTCTGCCACTTTGGAACCACTGTGCTACCCGTCCACTTCTCCCATCCCGTGTGACTGCAGCCTGATCAACGCTGACTTCTGTGCGGGCGCCGTGCTCATCTCCTTCGGGGCTGTCCTGGGCAAGACTGGGCCAGCCCAGCTGCTGCTGATGGCCCTATTGGAGACAGTGCTGTTCAGCGTCAACGAGTTTATACTGCTCAGTCTCCTGGGGGTAAGTCTGGCCAGGAGTGGGTGAGACCTGGGTGTCGGTCCTGCTCTGAAAGAGGAAGAGTGGGCGGGGGCAGGGGCTGCCTCACGACCTCTGTCGCCCCCAGGTGAGAGACGCTGGAGGGTCCATGACCATTCACACGTTTGGGGCCTACTTCGGGCTGTTCCTCTCGCGGGTCCTCTACAGATCCCAGCTGGAGAAGAGCAGGCAACGCCAGAGCTCTGTCTACCATTCTGACCTCTTTGCCATGATTGGTGAGGCCTGCTGAGGTGACGTGGTGTGGACTGCAGAGCGCCATGCCTGGGGAAGGTCTCCTGGCACTGCCAGCCATCCCTGGGGTCCTTCCTACTTGTTTTCTGAGGGGCCTGAAATCTATGCTCATCATCACCCCTAACTCAGTGCCGGGATACACAGAAGCCCACACCAGGCCCTGGGGCTTTTCAAGTTTACCTCAGTCCTGCTTGAAAGCTTCCTGGGCTATGCAGCCCACATGTGTGGAGCCAGACCCTTCATCCCACTGCCCAGCCCTTTTTCCTTCTATGCCCCTGCCAGTCCCGGTCACCTGTGCTTGAGCTGGCCTCCTAGCCTAAGAACCCCACCTCCCCACAGCCCAAGAAGCCCTGCACTGCCAGGCAGGGAAGGACAGGCCCTTGATCACCCCAGGGGGCAGTAGGGCCTGTTTCCTCTAGGTCCCCGCCTTTGGTGGCTCTGTCCTCTCTGTCCTCACAGCCTGCCATCTGGAGTCCGTGTTTCGTCTGGGGTGTTGAATCCGGCCTTCAGTGCCTGCTCTTGCATAGCAGGGCTGACTTGGTTTGCTCGCCCACTTTAGGGCACCGTGAAACCACGGAGCCCTCCTTGTCCTTAGCAACCCTTCCCATATGAGGTCTCCAGGTGAAGTGGACGGGGAAAGGGAGGGAGGGGCCAGGTGGTCTGTGCCTTCTCTACCCTGAAGCCTGAGAACTGGGCACAGGACCCTGAGAAGGTCCTCATCTTGAGGCAGCATTGGGACTTTGAGCCCAAGGGAAGGATACAGGTCACACACACAGGCTCCTGCCTTGCTGGCCCACCCTGCAAAGTCCCTGCTCTTCCTCCCGCTCTGAGATTAGTCTGTAAGACTTAAAGCAGGGCCGGGTGGTGGTGGCGGCGGCGCACGCCTTTGATCCCAGCACTCCAGAGGCAGAGGCAGGTGGACCTCTGAGTTGGAGGCCAGCCTGGTCTAGAGAGGGAGTTCCAGGACAGCCAGAGCTACATGGAGAAACTCTGTGTGTGTGTGTGTGTGTGTGTGTGTATTAGTGCTGTTCCACTGAGCCTCACCCAGGCCCTTGCTGAGCAGTTATGCCTAGTGGGGCCATGAAGCAGGCATTTATAGGCATCATCCCCTCAACTCTCGCCGTAGGAAGATTTTTTTTTCCTAGCAATTCCAGGAATCAGTGAGCAAACAGGCTGCATAATAACTTACCTGCCTTGCAGCGCCCCCTGGTGACAGGGGCCACTCACTACTAGATGCTCACTGTGGCTACCCACGGTTTAGGGACCGTCTTCCTGTGGATTTTCTGGCCCAGCTTCAACTCTGCGCCCACGGAGCTGGGGGATGGGCAGCATCGGACGGCCCTCAACACATACTACTCACTCACGGCAAGCACCCTCAGCACCTTCGCCTTGTCAGCCCTCGTCAGTGGGGATGGCCGACTGGACATGGTATGGCCAAGCAGACGGGCAGCCTGGCAAAGGGAAGAGATGGCTAAGGTCTCGGGAGCAAGCACTGAGCCTCCATCTCTACGCAGGGGGGTGGGTTAGAGTGAGGGGGCAGGACAGGAAAGCTGGAGAGCCAGCGGCTAGACAACAGAGGGACTTTAGAAGCAGCAGATGCCACGGCGATGGGTGGGGGCGGAGTGTGTGTGTGTGTGTGTGTGTGTGTGTGTGTGTGTGTGTGTGATGATCTGAGAAGATACCTTGCCCTTTTTTGTCCCCTTAGGTCCACATCCAAAATGCAGCATTGGCTGGAGGGGTTGTGGTGGGGACATCGAGCGAAATGATGCTGACACCCTTCGGAGCTATGGCAGCCGGCTTCCTGGCTGGGACTGTCTCCACGTTGGGGTACAAGTTCTTTACGGTATGGTTGCTTCTCAGGATCTGGAAAAAAAAAGCACGTGAGGGAGGGAGCCTGCAGCAGGGACCCGGGATTCCCAGTGGCCCTTCTGCCATTTCCCCACCAGGTCCTGGGGAGGGGGTAGGTGGATCGCCCATGCCTGACTATCCAACTTGTCCTCCAGCCTGTCCTTGAATCCAAATTCAAAGTGCAAGACACGTGTGGTGTCCACAACCTCCATGGGATGCCGGGGGTACTGGGGGCCCTCCTGGGAGTCCTGGTGGCTTGGCTGGCCACCCACGAAGCTTATGGAGATGGGTGAGTCTGCTCTAGCCTCTCTAGAATGACCTGACCCCCCTTCTTCTCTGGGAGTCAAGACAAAAAAAATCCCTGTCTGTTCTCACACACCCATTTGGCCATTCTCCCACCGTATGGTGAGGGCTGAGGACCTGCCCAGGCCTGGCCTCCTCCTGGTCAGTGCAGTGGGTGATCATGAAGGAAACCATTTCAAGAGCACTGAGCATTCCTTCAGGATCAGTAAGAGATAATGACCCCTGGGATCTACATTTCACACTGTGAGCTGGGGGTAGGCAGGCAAAAGGGACCTTGGACAGGGTTCTGAAAGGTATGTGGGATTGGCCAGCTTAGGAAGGGAGATAAAAGTGAGGCCTGGCTGAACAAAGGCCTGGGTCTGAGACAGTGGGGAATCCCTGGACACCCTTTGGCTGCCCACACATGAATGCCACAGTGACCAGCCCTGACTGCCTGTTCCATCCCCGTCTTTCCCTGTCTGGTCGCCTTTCAGCCTGCAGAGTGTATTTCCGCTCGTAGCCACCGGCCAGCGCAGCGCCACATCTCAGGCCGTGTATCAGCTCTTTGGAATGTTTGTCACACTGGGGTTTGCCTCTATGGGTGGCAGCCTTGGAGGTGAGTGGCTTTAGCTGGGCAGGGTGGTGGGTGAAAGCCCCAAGGACGGGTGCCCAGGGGGAAGAGCATGGCCTCCAGTGAGGAGGTGCTGGTGGGAGACTGCTCCCTCGGGAAGGAAGGAAGGAAGGAGGGAGGGAAGGAAGGAAGGAAGGAAGGAAGGAAGGAAGGAAGGAAGGAAGGAAGGAAGGAAGGCTGGTCCCTGGGTTATGGGGTCTGACTTTCCTGTGCTGCTCCCATGTGCCACAAGAGGGCAGTCCAACCCCAGCTGCTGGGAAGGGACCAGTTCAGCCTCCTGCTCTGAGCAGTTGCAGACAGAAGGAGGGCTGGGCTACCGTGGACCAGAGCACAAAGCCTTCGGCAGAAGCTGTCTGCTCACTGGTCCTAGGTCAGGAAGTCCCTCTGATACCTGGCTTTAAGAACAAAACCTGAGCCAGGCAGTGATGGCGCACGCCTTTAATCCCAGCACTCAGGAGGCAGAGGTAGGTGGATCTCTGTGAGTTCAAGGCCAGCCTGGTCTACAGAGTGAGTTCCTGGACAGCCAGAGCTACACAGAGAAACCCTGTCTCAAAAAAAAAAAAACAAAACAAATAAACAAACAACAACAACAAAAATGAACAAACCCTGATGCAACATCCTTACCCTCCCACACATACCGCCATCCTGAAAATGTCATTCCCTAGGGTCTAGTCCCCAGGTCACATTTCATGCAGTAAACATCCCCTGGGTCCCTCCCACGTGGGGAGCCACAAAAAGATCAACAGCTATGCTTCCTGATAGAATCACAATATGACTGCCAACATGAACACATTCCTTCATTTCTACCAGCTGGCTTCTATGTGGGTAATTCGGGGGAAGCCACCTTGCAGGGCTATACCTTCTCAGAACGGTGGCACTCAGCAGCTCTTGGCATAGGCTTGGGTCTGCCTCGTCTCAAGCTTATCTACCCGTGCTCCTAGGTGGCAACCTCCCCCTTGGGTAGGGACAGGGGAATCTTACATCTCCTTCCCTGTGGTGACCAGGGTTCCTGCTGAGGCTGCCCTTCCTGGATTCCCCTCCAGACTCCCAATGCTTCGAAGACCAGGTTTACTGGGAGGTGAGACATGGGTGTTGGACCCCCTATGGTCTTCTCTGATGCCTTGCCTGACCTCTGGGCTACCGCTTGCCTCTTCCCTTGTTTGTGGGCTCCTTCATTAAGTCCCCTGGAACTTCCTTCACCTCTCCCTGCCCTGCAGGTACCCGGAGAGCAGGAGGCTGAGGCCCAGAGACCTCTGAGGGCCGAGGAGCCAGACACCCAGGCCTAATGGCTGCCAGCATGACGCTGTCCTTGGAGAAGACAATAGCTCCTGCCAAGAGGTCCTTCTCAGCCCTTGTTACTGTTTGGAAGGAAGTCTAGAGCCAGAAGGGGCATAGCATCCCTAGGCAGATTCACATTAGTTTGCACCTGTGGCCAGAACAGGCCAAAGCCAGCCCTAGGTGACTGCTGCCCCACCGGCCAGTATTACCCTGTCCAGTGACACCTGAACAGGCCCACTCTGGGTGGGAAGCTGGGCGATAAACAACACCATCACCAAGGGCTTCTGTTTGTGCCTCTTTCCTTTAACTCCTGAGGCCAAAATCTTGTGGCAGTCAACGATCTCAGTGCTGCCGGCCGGTGGTGGCGCACGCCTTTAATCTCAGCACTTGGGAGCCAGAGCTAGACAGATCTCTGTGAGTTTGAGGCCAGACTGGTCTACAGAGTGAGATACAGGACAGGCACCAAAGCTACACAGAGAAACCCTGTCTAAAAAAAAAAAAAAAAAAAATGGCTGGAGAGATGGCTCAGAGGTTAAGGGCGCTAGCTGTTCTTCCAGAGGTCCTGAGTTCAATTCCCAGCAACCACGTGGTGGCTCCAGACCACCTATAATAAGATCTGGTGCCCTCTTCTGGTGGGCAGGCACACATGCAGACAGAACACTGTGTACATAATAAATACACCTTTAAAAAAAAAAATCTCAGTTTCTGACAAAGCCTCCTCGAGTCCACAGAATTCTATCCAAGGTACCATATCCTACTGGATATATGTCCCAACTAGGTTCATCCTCTCTAGGGGGCCATTATTGTCCAGAGACTTTGTGCCTATTTTAACCAGCAAATGCTGCCCCCTAATCCTTCGTGGTCCTTCCTAACTGCTGCTGCCCTGGCCCTCAACTGGCTCCACTTCTGAGCAGAGTAGGAAAAGGCCCGAAAGGGCATCAGAAGGAGTGGCCTGCCACAAAACCTCAGCAGCCAGAGGCAGCCCTTACCTGATGCCAGTTCACAGCCCTGTCCTGAGTCTGTGGAGCAGAGAACAGGGAAGGTCATGAGGCTGTGAACGAAGGCACCTGGGAGCCTGGTGGCCTAAATCGTTTGACCACAAGAGGGCACTCTAAAACCAGAGGAAGATGCCACCTCCGGGTCTCACCTAGGTCCTTCTTGCAGCCTGGCCTCCCGAGTTGCATCAGCCTTGGTCCTCAGCCATCCATGCCACAGCCTTCCCTGAGGCCCACCTCTTCCACATGTAGGGTGATGCCAGAAACTCCATGTCTCACCCTACTCAGAGGCTTCTTCCCTTCATGGGGGGGAGGGAAGCCCACCAGGACCCTCTTCCCTCCCTCACTGGACCTGCCAGTAGGCTTCTGGCAAAAGTTGAGCACAACTACAGACAGACACATCTACCTCCTGACTAAGGCCCTTCAGAGCCAGGAACCCCAAGAGGAAATACATATCTCGGACCCCAGCCCTCTGAGGGAGAAAGGCCAAGTTGCCCAGTGTGTTCCTGGGCTCTCTGGGTTCAGCTGGAGATTGTGGAGGGACAAGCTCTCCAGGGAGTGCTCCTCTTCTTCCCTCAGCCTCCCCTCTCCAGAGTTCCCTGCCCTTTGCTGGCTGAGGATCCCAGGATCGAAAGCTCTAAGTCATTGTGGGAAAGAAGCTGGGAGAACTGGGGCCCAGCTCCGGATGGGTGATGGACCAGCCAGCTACCCTGCCCTGCCCCCAGCTGCTGCCCAGGCCTTCCTAGGTAAGGGAAGGCTGTGAACAGTCTCTTACTCATGGCCCTCTCTGCTGCTGGTTCCTTCTGAACTACAACCAAGCCTTTTCCTCAGGCCTGAAGATAAAAGGGCTCTTCCAACACTGGGTGGGAGAAGCCATCTCAGTCCTGGAGAAGGGACATTGGAGCCCCTTTTCAGAAAGTGCAATTGCTCAGTCAGCTTCTAGTGGGTGAAAGGCTGCTGGTCCCAGGATGGCCCTGACAACAGGTCACTGATAAGAGAGACAAGGAGAGGATGCTCATGAGCTACGCCCTGTGATGTCCTGTCACCAGTGAGTTCTCGCTGTCACAAAACCCCCATGTGCACCACACAAACTCTGCCACCAGCCCTGGCACCCTGGTCCTTCTGTTCTGGGCACTCCAGCCAGGGCCTAACTCTTTAAAACTAAGCCTTCGGTTTTTCACCGTGTGTGTGTGTGTGTGTGTGTGTGTGTGTGTGTGTGTGTGTGTGTTGTCTTTCCCCTTTTTGCCTTAAATGCAGGGACACATGGTGGGCCCTGCAGGGTGTTCCATTTCATCTATCGTAGATTCCAGTGGGGGGGTTGAAAGCACAGGAAAGACAGGTCTCTCTGGAGCCCCTCCCTCCAGCCAGGAGCCCCTGGGCCTCATCAGCACTGGTCCCCCTCATGGTGGCCTATCTATTCAGGATGATCAACAGATGCCAAGGAGAGGGGCATGTCATCCCTCAGGACAATGAGACTTCTGCTTCTCAGGCCCAGCCCCTCGGAGCAGCATGCTATCGCTCTCAGTGAAGGACAAGGGGACACTTGCTGCTCATGAACTCGGGCCCTGGGAACAATGCTGGATCCTCACCTCCTGCCTGCTTCTGGAGACTAGACTGAGGAGCAGGCAGGCTGTTGGGGAGATGAGGCCAACACAGCCAGAGACATCGTAGGAAGTCCCTCCGGAATGCCACTACTCTGGCGTGGCATACTGTGTGTCCACTACAGCAAGGATCCATGTCCAAGGACAAGCAAGACCTTAGGGTGCTCCGGCAGCTGCCCTCCTTGGTCTGGGCTGGGGAGGTTACCTGGCCCGGAGGAACCGGGCACATTGGGATTCGCGTCACGGCGCAGGCCGCTCCTTGGAGGAATTAGACACGGCGCGGCATCCGAGGTGCAGCCCGGTTGCCCCCGTCGCCCTCCCTCCCCCCGCGGCTTTGTCTGGCGCGCTGCGCCCACCGCCCGGCGCCCCCCGTGCGCAGCCAACAAAGCGGGCTACTGTCCGCGGGCCGTATGCAAATGCTCCAGGCGGCCAGCGTCCCGCCGCCGGCTTCCAGCCTGAAAGGGTCGGCCGGGCAGGGGGCGGCCGTGCTCAGGGGGCGGCCGTGCTCCGGGAATAGAACACCATTGTCTGTGCGGTCCACGGCAAGGGGACCTGCACCGGCTTCGGGAGCTTCGGCTTTGGGGTCAGACCGAGTGGGCGCGCGCTGTCCCCCAGTCCCCACGCAAACCTCTGCCGGCCGACCACACCTCTGAGCCACCGTGGCTGGGGTTCAAACCAGCAGCCATCGGTGCTCGGGGCTCACCCTGCTTAACCCACCTCTGCCCTCCTGCTTCTTCTCACATCACATTGATCCAGGGCACAGAGCAAAGTACTTAAGGTATCCCCCAAACAGAGCAAATTACAAGGTGATATACCCTGTTGGGTCTTCTGTGACAAGTGCAGCCAGGGACTGCTCAGGCCTGCCTTCTTGCCAGCCACCACTTTAGCAGGCCATGTTTACTGGAGGAACGATCAGCTAAAGCAAAATTTTGAGGATAAACTATCCAGTGATTCTGGAGGTGGGGGAAGGGAGTCTATGGCCCTCTAACCAAGTCAGTGAGTGGTTCGCTAGCAAGAGGGATGTCCTCAGAGAGCACCCAGAGTGTGTGCTGGGGGGCACCGCGCACTGGGGCGCAATCCCTAACTCAGGACACAGATACAGGCTCAAGATTCCCTGATGCAGGGCTAGAGTCCACCTTTTTAAAGCTCCCAGGTGAGAGCTCCCACGTAAGGGGCACTTTGGAGAGTCCTAGTTTCCTGAAGCATTGATACCTCCGGACTTGTGAATAGTTTCAGGCAGAATTAATCAAAATAACCCCAAATGTGAAAAGTGTGCCTGGTAGGGTTTGGTGGCGCATGCCTTTGATCTCAGCACTCAGGAGGCAGAGGCAGGCGGATCTCTGTGAGTTCTGGGCCAGCCTGAGCTACATAGTTCCATGACAACCAGGGCTAAATAGAGACCATGTCTCCAAAAAACAAAAACAAAAACAAAAACAAAACAAACAAACAAACAAAAAAAAAAAAACGAAAGCAAACTGTGCCATGGTGGTGTATACCTGTAACCTCAGCACTTGAGAGGCTGAGGCTAGGCAGGAACCTCAAGGCTACTCCGGACTACAAAGCCTGTTTCAGGACAGCCTGGGATATGAGATTCTACCAAATAAAGAAGAGAGGCATCTAGGATTTCTACAGCAGTGAGCAGACAAGCTGCTGAAGCTGAGGAGAGGTGGAGAAGGTGCTGGTCTCCAAGGAAATCTTTGGGGCGGGGGGTTGAGCAGCCCCATTACGGGACTCTGGCTGGTTCTTCCGGCCTTCACCAGTTTCTGATGGGGAGCTGGCCGGGGATCCGTGGTAGAAGCTGTGGCATTTCCTGGTGCTAAGGAAGCAGGCGGAGTTCTGCACTCTTAGCTCCTTGGAAACCAGTCCTTCTGTCCAGCTCTCTGATCCATCTCCAACATCTCTAAAGTTAGCCTCATAGAGGCTGCTTTGGGGCCCTCAGCAGCTGCCTCTGGAAGAGGCTCAAAAGCACAGAGCACACTGCCCCCCAGGGCCCTACCCTCACAGGGTGCTTACAGATGCGCGGCTTGCTTGCACAGTCCCAGGGAGGCCGGGGTCGGTTTCTAAAGCCCCCTACCCTGCAGGCCCTTTGGCCTGCATCTCCAGGCTCTCTGGACCTGCTTTTTAGTTCCTGGGCAGGGCCCAAGGAGGCCCCTCTTGGCTCTGAGGCTGCGGGGAAGCAGGCTTTGTTGTGCGGGCAGCCTCTGGATCCCGAAGCTTTGCTTTCCCACCCAGCTCTTGGCAGCAGAGTCCTCAGCAGGAGAAGCCCCCTACCCCCCTCCCCGCCCCAGCACCCCTCCTTCCCTGTCCAGCACCATCCATCTCCGTCTCCCCAGAGCAAGGAATGTGCCTCAGGACACTGTGGGACTTGTTCCCAACCCCTTCTGGCTCATTTCACCCGGGCTTTTACAAACTGGCCTCCATCCCGTGGCTGCTGTCTGGGTTTTGGTTCTAAAGGAGCAGACAGAGGCCCCTCCTCCCCACAATTCCTCATGCTTCACTTTGCCCCAACGCCACGGAGGAGGCTGCACCATGGAGGGTCAAGGAACCCCGGGGTGGGGGCAGGGTCCCCCAGACCCCAGCTTTACTGCTCAGACACCCAGCACTATGGTGATGTCTGACTATGTTAGGCCCAGGCTACAAACCATTCATCCCTTCTCCTGGCCTTTCTGTTCACACCACTCCAGGCC